CGACTATGCTGTCAGATGTAAGAAACTCTTATCCAATTAGCAGCATCCAGATGTACTAACGAAGGTCTTAGTTGATGTTACCCCAGCTTCCCAACCTGAGGACTCTGCTGGTGTCTTCTGGAAGGTCGAGGATTGCTATGGCTACTTTGCTCGCATGCTTCAGAAGGAGGGAAAAGAGGGATGTCACAACAGCGTCGGATCTGGTTCCGGTAATGTGACGGTTGGCGGTGATTCATCACTGGCTGGTACCATCTTCAAGGTCTCCATTGTTCCTACGGAGAGCTTGCAATAGCTGTCCATTTTTACTTTCTTGTTCATTTTTTAGGGTATTGCTGAGCTTTGGCGTCACGATAGGCGCGTACGGGTCATGGATTAAGCGCTGTGCGCATCGGCGTTCTACTGTAGCAGTCCCGTTGCTATTCATTTTATGATTGTCACGCTTCACGTCAGAAATCGGTGAGGTGTGCATCTTCTACATTGCTCCTGCCACACCAGTGTGAAATTGTAGCAGCAGCATTCACTATGAGTTTCGGCAAGTTCGACTGCTTTGGACGTGCCGGTACGCCGTCCTTTCCACCCAACGCCTCCAGATCACTCTCACTTGATCAGCAGCTTAACTCGTTAGCTTACTCAGGATTCATACGCAGTATCGCCTTAGTTACAAAACGCGAATTTTCTCAGCACAATGGCGCACGATTACCGCTCACCACTCGACAACGCGGACGAAGAGCTTGTAAAGTACAACAGCCCGTACCTCAAAGGCATGGGATATCAGAGCATATGTACCATCTGGCCGACCGATGCACCTACAGACTACATACGCAGCGCCACCGTCTTCCTCGAAGCCGAATACGCAAATTCCGATTCGCCAATCCACCAAGACCCTCCGCTACCCATCCCACCAGATCCCGACGACAACTCACTCAGACCCCTCAAAACCGACGACGATGTCTTCGACGCTGCTCGTGTATGGCTCAAATGTCCTCTCGATCACGCCATCGTGATGAAATATCCTACTCAACTCGTGCAACTCAATGGGTGGGTGGGCTACAGTCGGGTAACACTCTATTATGAGAAGTTCATGGGGACACACCAACCGAAATTGCTCATGACCATCAAGTGGTTATGCCCAAACACACTGGATGGCATAGCTGAAGGTGACACGATCGATCGGCAGTGGGTGGACGAGCCAAAGGCCTACAAATGCTCATACGTTGCTCTTTGCGATTACGACAACCTCGTTCTTTTAAGGTTCGGAAACGTCTTGGGGATTGAAGGAGTTCGGGTCACCGCCGTTCCAAGAGATAGTATGCGTCTGGCGTTCCTGGGATTTCTACTTGAAGCGTGCGATGTTGTTTTGGGTGAGCCAGGTAGTGGCCTGTCTTGATTCGGGTCTCTTCTCGTAAACTCACAGCTCACTAAAGGACTCCCGTTATGGATAGATGGCTAGGCAGATCAATGATAGCTGTTAGGTCAAAAACAAACCTTTTTCTGTACAAGCCCTGGGGCTTTCACGAAGCCTTTACATGATCTGATGGCAGGACATAGCTTCGGAGGCTTCCATAGCATCCTCCATAGGCGAAACCAAGCAAATATGGTAGTGTAGAGGCCACACGACGAAGGCGGTGATGCGGCTCCATGCCAAGTCGGCGCATACGTCATCACCAGCCCTCGGTCGCTCACCCCTGTCCGCAAAACACCAACCTCGTTACTAAACAACAGCTGCGGTTGCCGACAGCCGCAACATCTCGTAATGAGAAGAAGAGCCGGGCACCTCCGCTACCACATTTCGACCGAGGAAAAGAGTCCGCATGCTTGGCAACACGTGTGTACCGATGCGCATTCACGATGGTTCCTGTCGGTCCGGGAAAGGTACCGGCGACCTGCACACGTGTCCGAGTCTGGACTGTTTATGAAAGCGTGGTACTGTATAGTGGCTTGGGAGTGACGTGCCACCAGCCACAGTTTTTATGTCAAGTAGAGGGAGGCACGTCCTCATTGCAAAATTATTACCATCCCTACCTTATCTACACCATACACCATAATCTCTAATCCCGACACAAGGTGCAAGCTTGATCAAAATGCGCGTCGCCAGTACCGTCCTCGCTCTTTCCTCCGCCGCATCAGGCTTCATCCACCCTCGTCAAGCCTCTTATAACGAGACGAGCTCTACGCCCAATGTCGCGGCCGCTCAATATGATGGAACCTGTTTCTACCCCGTTCCTGATTCCAAGTTCAACCTGAACGCGTATCTCGGTACCTGGTATCAGGTCGCTGGTACACCATTCGGTCCTACGGCCGGCGCGCGCTGCGTGAGCGCAAATTACGAGCTCAACGTACGTTTTTTCGTGTATGCGAATCTTTAGACGGTGATTGACAGCTGATGCAGGATAACGGTACGGTGCGCGTCACAAACACTGCGACTGTCGGCCCACGAACTGTCGACATCGTCGGCACAGCTACGCCCGTAGACTCTGCCTATGGCGCCGGCGGTGCTTTCGTTGTCAGCTTCCCTGGCACGCCATCAACGGCAGAATGCCCAGGGCCAAACTACATTGTGCAAGGTGAGTCATGTTATGAGCATTAATCGAAGTGCACGACCACTAACGTTGATGCGTAGATTACGCCGTCGATTGGGCAATTGTGCAGACTCAGAAGTGGAACACGTTGTACATCTTGAGCAGGGTGCGACAGCCAGCCGCTGAAAGCATCGATGCATGGATTGATCGCGCTGTGGCTTTCGGATCGAACGCATCCTCGATTATGAAGTTCAACCAGACAGGCTGCGAGTAGGTGTAAGTCGGCAGTGAGGAGCTGAGGGTTTCATTGCGGTGACGTTGATGTGAGCTATCGATTTATGCAGAGCCGCGAAAACTTCACCGCATAACCATCCAAGAGAAGGGCAAATCGACTATTTGAGCACTCAGTACACTTCAGAGATACATGCACAATAGAGAGAGTATACATTTTCCAGGCCTGATGCCAATCAATGGGTATCTAATTACATCCAAAAAGGACAACGACTCCGTCAACGCCCAGCAAAGCTTATGACGACTGTACAGACAGCGCGCTTTGTTCATCGGACTCAACAACGCTCTTCCCGTCGTCTTCGTCGCCTTTCTCAATGGCCATGTCCAAACCCAGACCTGAATCGACGCTTGTCTCGGAAACACTTTCGAACTCCACGCGCACTGGCCTAACGTCGGGTTGGGACGGGTCCCAAATGACGGGAATATAGCGCTCATCGTTATGATACTGCTCCCATAGCCACAGTTCGGGTTCTCCTTCTTCACTAGGGCACCAGCCATCTCCCGCAAAATCTTCTATGCCGTTGAACCATCGAATCATTGGCGATTGAAGCTTGGGGAGCCACGCCGCACGTTCCTCGTCGACCTCACGTACCATTTGGTAGTTGTGACTTCCCGGGTGACTACGGACAGTAGCAATGTTGAAATCGATCTCTTTGACGGTGATACCATCTGGTACGTTGTCTTCTGGATTGGCTTGGAGACCAGCTATTATGATGTTTCGAGGGCTGGTATCAGGATTTTCGATGCCTGCGTGAAATATGACAATGTCGTTGTCTATGACCTTCCTGAGAATGCTGAACCGTATCTGTTCCGTCAATGCTCGGGCATCGACATTGCGCATCGTGTCCCCTCGTACGTATTCCATCAGAACCAGAGGCACTTGGCGAGTGTGCTTCTGGAGCTGATCCCCGTCGCGGAGCTGAGTATCAACAGGAATAGTCCAGGTGCCGTAGAAAGCAGGTGTAACTTCTCTAGCCGCAGATGACTTCTGTAGCTGTTCATAGGCGGCAGCTTCGCGACTATAATCGCCATCTGCATCGTAAACAACGTTGATGCTGCCGATATCGTAGTCGTAGTCCCTGTAACAGAGCGGATCGAAGATTTTGGCAACCATAGTTTCGTTGACTACCACAAGTTGCGCACCCGTGTTGAATCCGGTTCTGATGATATCGGTTATAGTGAGAGTGATTTGGTCATCTTGAATTGTCTGACCACCCAGAGGAAGTCGCATACAGCAAAGCTCGGCCTGCGAAAGAGAATCACAGTTCTCCAGCATGGGGGGATATTCCGTGGTGTATCTATAGCCGAAAGGCTCAGGTGGCGCATGTCTTGTGCCCGTAAGAGTCAGACCTATAACGTAGGGCACCACTGGCGTCTCCTCGAAGTCGATGTCGCTAGTCTCGGTATCGCTTTGCTCAGCTCCGGCGCTTTGTGATGGTGATCTGGTGTCATCGGGAGCAGCCGATGGGCAGTGGTCATTACTGCACGCGCGATCGCTTGCTTGCGCCTCGCTGATCGGCTGGAGTAGTTGCGCTTCCATCGGAGATCTGGTGTCGTGTAGTGAAGTTGTGCGCGGGACAAGGTTACTGGTAGAAGTAGGGACAAAGTGTGCCAAGTCACGCTAGCTCCCGCACCGCGCCATCACGTGGCTCGGAATTCACTCGTGCTCGTGCTCACTGGCCTTCGTACTCTTTGTAGTAAGCACATTGGGTACCTACAATGACTTAGCGTTCGTTGTGCGATCACTCATCTGAACGAAATTGTCTGCGGGCTGATTCTCGTCGACTTTGTGTATGGGCAATGAACGCGGCTTTGAGTTCACTAGATTACCTAGGTAGAGAAATGTGAACATATTCAGGGACAGAAACTTCCTTCGAGAGTCTTAGCCTGTTGCAACCCCATTGTACAGTCACTATATCGCTGGCGGAGTAAAACAGATACACCTACCATCATTTCACTGCCAGCTTCTGCTCTAATTAGGCAAGTGATGTCACGCGGGTGGGACGTAGGACCCATGAATTTGCAATTCTCACATATCACGCCCAGATTTCCTTGAGCTCTTCCCACTGTTGTCTACTCAACCCAATAGAAACCTCAACCCCGTTGAACTGAAGCACTTCACTTCGATCGTTTGCTCCCAAACTCTTTCATCACGATAGCAGCACCTGCAGGCCTTCCTCAATCGCCAAAATGACACCTGATTCCTCCTCACCGCCAACAATTCTTGAGTCTTTCCAGAACAAGATATACGTCCTAGAACTTGACGACAAGGTTACGGTCAAGACTGTGAAAGCTTCTGGTGCCACTACAAAGAACACGCCGCCCCCTGAGATGTTGTTCTACACACCTATCGTGGAGCATGAGACGACTGCTGATGAGTTTCTAAATCAACCAATGCTGAATCAGATCCTTGGTTCAAGGACCATCTCCGCCAAGCGCCCTGAGATTAAACAAGACAATGAGGCTGGAGTTGTACTAGCAACTATGACATATGTGCTTGATCCTATCACCGAGGTGCTTCATGCAATGTTTCCTGGCAAATGGACTCTTCACTCAGAGCAGACCCAGGTCGAGAAAAACGCACAGAAAAACGCACAGAAAGACGAACAGAAAGACGCAGAGAAGGACACAGAGAAAGACGCAGAGAAAGAAAAGGTTGGGGAATCTGCTCTTCGTACTGACTTGATCTTCAAAACCTCCGGTTCCAAGGAAACAATTGCAGTCGTCGAGTTCAAGCGACGACAGTACATTCGCTACAAGGACTTTGAGGACGCTATTGTTACGACGAATCCAACATTAGAAGACCGCAAGAAAAAGCAAGCCGATCTTACTTGGAAGGGTACAGGCACCTTGCTCACAGGTAACGCGGAACCCTACTGTAGGCAAGTCCGGGCCTATGCAATCCGCACAGAATGCAAGCACGTCGCACTCTTCAACTGGGACCATCTGCTACTTTTCGATTTTGACCCAGTAAAGCCTAAGATGAATGGCAAACCCGCATCAGCCAGCGCTAGACCAAAGGTGTCTTGGGTACAGGAGAGCGACGAAGCAACTGGCTTCATGGAGTCAGGTCTCATTCGCAAAGTTCTCCTAGGCTGGCTCATCAAGGCATTTAAAGACGCCGGAATCGAAAGTGAGTCCAGGGAATAGTCAGTGCTTACAACGTAGTATCTATGGGTACACCTGGGCTTCTGGTAGTTATGCGTGAAAGACGATGTAGTAATCCGGGATATCTATAGAGCGAACGATTAGAATGTAATGGAATATTGAACACACTCTCCCATGACAAAGATTTCATGGTTTCTCACCGCCTGTGTCCGGACTGTTCACCATCTACTCAGCAGCTCTACTTCCGTCCGCATTGCCCCCATTCTCCAGATCTGCACCCCAATCAATCTTAGGACAAGCCTTCATATCCCCCGCATCCCTAACAAGCGGCACATACTCCTCCCTCCCCCCAAAACACTCCCACAGCCACTCATTCGTCGTCTCCGCCTTACTACCAACCCACCCCTTGAACGCAAAATCGCTCATCGCATTCCAGAACCTCGTCACAGGACCCATGATCCTGCCCGGCCATCGCTGTTGTATGTATGCGGAGTCGGAGTCGCCAGGACGGGGTTCGCTGAGCCGAATGACATTCGAGACGTTGAAGTCGATGATGACGACGCGGGGGTCTGGGTCGTCGAGGGAAGATGTAGGTGATGGGGAGACGAGCATGACGTTGCGAGGCGCGATGTCGCGATGGAGGACGCCAGCGGCGAAGATGAGGGACTCGGCTTCCAGGACTTTCTTCATGATTGCTGAGCGAGTTTGTGCAGAGAGCAGATGAGGCCGTATGGCGGTCATAACAGTACCAGGTATGTATTCCATGAGTATGAGCCGAACATGTCGTGTGTACATCTGGCCGTCCACCAACGTGTCTACGTCAATAGTCCAGCTACCATAGTACTCCGGGACGACGCGCTGCGTCTTAGGATCTCGTCTTAACTCATCGTACGCGGCGGCCTCGCGGGAGTAATCTCCGTCAGATAGTACGACAACATCGCGCTTGTCGTCGAAGATGTCGAACTCGTCGTCGTAAAGCGGGTCGTATATCTTTGCTACTATATCTCCGTTGACTAAGACGACTTGCGCACCGTATATAGAGCCGGTACGTATTGTGTCGGTGACGGTAAGCGTGTAGGAATCTTCGAGCGTACGCCCTTCAATTGGCGGTCGGATAAGGCAGTAGTTGAGCTGTGGTAATCTGAAGTGGCCTGTCTTGAAAGGCGGCCATGGGGTATTGTAACCGTTACCGAAAGGCGCAGGTGGTACGTGACGGTACGCAGTGAACGTAGCGCCTACCGTGTAGGGCATAGCAGGTCTGCGGTCGGTCTTGTTGTACGGGTAGTCCAGATTTTCGAGATTGTTGCTCTTCTGGCTCCCCACAAGACTTTCTGATTTATCAAGAGCGATGTCAAGCGACCTAGAACTGCGCGCTGAGGGCGTGATACGGCGGGAAGAGCTCATCGTCATGGCGGCTGGGGTCTGGTTTCTGGGGCGTTTGACCTGAGAGTGTAATAGAGTAATCGGTCAGACGCCATTTTCGCAAACGAGAGTGAACGGTGAAAGCGATTCTCGTGGTTCCTGGTGAAAGTGAATCGACTCTATACCATCAGCCCCCTAGAGAAACACACAGAAAGGAGGATGCTCCATGTCGCGGTAGACTTTGGAAAGGCACTTCGTATATTCGTCGCGAGCTCATCCGAAAACCGGACGTTGCCCTACAGTAGTAACATCTGACTTGGGCACCTGAGCGACAGGCTGTTGAGCTACAAGCTGAGGACCCCATTGCTGCACCGGCTGCGGACCCCACTGCTGATAAGGTTGCGGCGCCCACTGCTGTGCTGTCGGCTGACCCATCCACTGCTGTCCCGGCTGCTGAACCCATTGCTGTCCCTGCGGTCCAGTATAAGGCGACGGCGGACCAGGTGGCTGCATCTCATACACACTCGCAAACGCCGCATATCTCCCCTTGCCGCCAAACGCCCACTTGACCCCTCCTCTCGCCCGTACAAGAACCCATAGGCTAACAAAGACCGATAAAGCAGCGACAGCCATGGCTATGACCATGTACCTCATCGCCTTCGCAGTGCCACATGCAGTACCCGCCCAGTCTTCCTCAGGGAAGAATTTGTCGATCTGACATGCCCACGTCTCTCTCGTGTGCTCCTGCTCGTCCTGTCCAATGTCTTCGTAATTCTCCCAGCTACTATCGCTACTCTGGACAGAGGTAACGTATCCAAAGACACCCAGACTGGCACCAACCATCACGATGTTGCTAACGAAGATGATCCACGTCCACATCCTCTCATGTCCCGCTGTGCCCTCTGTCCTTCTCAACTGCCATATTCCTGCCGCGCTGAGCAGACTGACTAGGTATCCTAGTAAGCATAACGCTAGTATGGTGATTGTGGGCGCGTTGTTTGTATCGATGGTCACGGTAGTGTCGTTCGAGCCGGGGCGGGACAAGGTTATCTGGGACGCGCCGCTGCGTATATCGCGACCGAGACCGTCGTTGAAGTAGTTTTTGGATATGCGCTCGAGGATGTTGGTCAGGGCGGCGAGGCCGAAGAGGAAGAGAAGGGGCGGTAGGAGGAGGAGTAGGATACGGGTGCCGTTGGGGTTGCGCATCTTCTTAACTCTGCGGTGGATGGCGGCGTCAAGGGAGTCGCGATGTGCTGATACGGGTTATATTTGGGCGCAGAATGTCCCTTTCTCCCAGCTAAAGGTGCGCAAGGCGACAGTCGAGCCATCGTGACTCGCTGGTGGCGGTCTGGGTCGAGGCGTGGACGCCTGAAAGCATCGTTGGGGGCGAGCCTTGCTTGGCAAACCTACACGTCTGAGAATAGCCTTGCATCCTGTATATAGTGAAGTGACGCTGGATCAAAACGAGTCGCAAATACGATGACACTATGTCCCCAGAAGTCGCGTGTTCCACCGTGGCATCGCGACACGCGTTCACGTGGTTGTGGGGCGGCATCCCGAGGTCCTGCCGGGCCGTCCCCAGGGTGATTCAACACAACGAACCTAGGTATACGAAAGCCATAACAGAGAGATATTATCTATTGAGTGTACACCGCCCAAGGCAGAGAAACAGGCATTCCATATGCCCAAGATCTACACAAGTACCAGCCTAACGATCTAAGAAAAACATTACAAGTATATGCTCTAGCGTCCCATGAATTCCAAACGCCGTGTATGCAGAATAGCTCCCGCTCATTGGAACTATTGCGGTGCGCCGATAGCCTGCAGCTTCGCCAGTTCAAAGTAAACGCCCTTCTTGGCCACCAAGTCCTCGTGTCTGCCCTTCTCTACAATCTTGCCTTGGTCAAAGACATAGATCACATCGGCGTGTTGAATTGTGCTCAAGCGATGCGCGATCGCGATTGTGGTGCGGCCTTGTGCGGCGGAGTCGAGGGCGGCTTGTACGACGCGTTCGGAGGTGGAGTCGAGGGCGGATGTGGCTTCGTCGAGAAGGAGGACCTTGGGGTCGCGGAGGAGGGCGCGGGCGATGGCTATGCGTTGGCGCTGGAAGACATGTTAGTGAGGTTAAGAGAAGTGAATGAGTTGGAGAACGTACCTGGCCACCAGACAGTAGAGCACCCTTTGCGCCGACCAGTGTGTTGAAACCATCAGGTAACGATGTGATGAAGTCGTAGATGTTGGCGTCTTTACACGCTTGTATGACCGCGTCATCGCCCAGTTCCTCCTTGTCAGCAAGGATGTTCTCTCGAATCGTGCCAGTGTAGAGCGTTGTTTCTTGACTGACGATGGCTAATTGCGATCGGTAGTCTTGAAGGTTGTAGTCCTTGACCTCCACGTCATCGACGAGCACGGCACCGCTTGTCGGGTCGTAGAACCGCTCGAGCAGCTGCATCACCGTCGACTTGCCAGAACCGGATGCGCCGACAAGGGCGATGAACTGGCCAGGGTCCGCAGAAAGACTGATGCCGCGCAGGACACGGTGGTCCGGTCTTCCAGGGTAGGTGAAACGAATGTCCTGCAGTTCGATCTTGCCGCTCAACCTGTCAATCTTCTTGCCCTCAGTCGACCAGTTGTCGATCTTAGGAACACGGTTCAAGAACGACTTGAGAAGCTTCGCTGCGTCCCGGGCCTCGCCCATGTCGGGCGCGAAGGAGAAGATGGCACCGGCTGACTGAGCACCGTTGATGATGGAAGAGTAGACGACAAAGAACTGCAAAACAGTATACTCCTGGTTGAACAACAGACGTCCTCCGTACCAGAACACAAGGGCGAAAATGAACATGCTGAGACCTTGGGATGTCGCAAAGAGCACTGCGGACACGTTCGTGAACTTAAAGTAACCCTTGCCCTGGTCTGCAAGCTTGGTGTGATAGGTGGACAAGAGATGCTTCTCCAGCGAGAGAGAGGCCACGGTACGAATGGAAGAGGCCGCCTCACAAGCGAAGCTGGCAGCATCGGATGTCTCCTTGGTTCGTTTCTCCATGCGAGTGAGAGCATAGAATCGGAAGTAACCACAGGCGATGACAAGTGGAATGGTTGCCGAGCACACAAGCGCCAGCTTCCACCCGAAAGAGCAACCCACGATGAAGGCGACAAGGATGGAAGCGGCGGCGCTGACAATCGTTCCGAGAGTAGAGCCACTGAGACCGGCGAGACGATTCGCCTCTGAAGAGAGGAAGTTGCTCAACGCACCGGAAGTGACCGTGTCACCATCGAAGAATTCCATGTCTTGACGAAGCATGGCGCCGAAAGCGCGCGTTCGCACGCTGCCAACAAGCCTGGCAGATCCTTTCGACAGTGTCATACCCTGTACGTAGTAGAAGAAGCCGATGACGATTCCGAGCATGAGGAACATGCCACACCAGAAGTTGACGTTGAGTCCACCGAGAGATGTTCCAGGAGATAAAAGCGAATTGATGGAGTTACCCAGGAAGATGGCTTGGATGGCAGGGTTGCAACCAGCGAGGAAACTGAAAACCAATCCGATGGTCATGGTTGAGTGCTCGCCCTTGTTCATCTCCCAAGCGAACTTGACCAACTCCCAGGTGCCGTATTCCTTGTCTTTATCGTCCTTCTTGGCCTGGAATTCTGAAGGAGCGGATGTAACAGTGCGCATCAAA